TACACACATATTTTGGTTTATCTTCCTTCTACAATCATTATCTGAAAATTAATGACTCAACTTCAAAGTCCAAGATGTGGTATTTTCTAAAAAGAATTATGAACGGTTAATGAAATGGTCAAAATCTGTATGTCTGATATAATAAATAAAATAAAAAAATACATTTTTAAAAACAAGTTTGTATTTAGCTGTTAATATAATTAACTGAAAATTCTAAAATATCTCTTTCTGATTGAAAATACTTGAATGATTATGAAGCGCCTTCGTCTCTTGAGGCCTTCATCTGGCCATACTGGACTGATAATACCTTCATCTTGCTTATTGTGTTTCAAGCTTTTTTTTTGAAATATCGTAGAGGTGGCTGTGAAATTGGACCTAGAATGCCGTCACTATGTCTATTGTGTTTCTCTCATCAAGCCCTCTTATTTGATACCCATATCATAGAGGTATGAAAATGATATATCGACATTTTGTAGCATCCGCCATATTGAATTCAAAATGGCGGCAGTCAATTCATTTTGTATTCACACGGGAACCAAACGTGTGTACAAAATTGCAGCTCAATTGATTAAGGTTAACTGGTTCAAAATTTAGTTCCAAGATTTGTCCCACACACACACATAACAAACTAACAAACAGGTCAACAAATCTTTTGAACAATCTCAATTTCTTTCACAGATCGTATAAATACGATTGTTAAGATGTCATGAGCATCCAAGACGTGACAGTTTGCTAGAAAAGTTATCAAATACTTTTTTTTTAAAACTTGTTTTTTCAAAAACAATGTGGACAGGAAATTTGAATCCGGTCGCATCGGTATTTTTCAAGAAAGTATGGAAAACAAATTGAAAATATTCGAGCAAAAAATATTCGGAAATTTTTTAATAAGGAGTAAAATACCTAATAATCGCATCAGATGCAGCGATATGAGACCAGTAAATGTGTCACCAGACATTGAAAAATTATTCGAGTCCATAGTACATGACCAATTAATGCAGTTTATAGAAGAAAACAAAATTTTAGTGGAGGCGTAAGCAGACTTTCGAAAAAAATATTCCACAGAAACGGCTTTCCAGTTGGTAACTGAGAATTGGAGAAGAGCCATAGACTCAGAAGAAGTTGTCATAGCAGTATTTTTGGATTTGAAGAGGGCATTTGAAACGATTGATAGAGATATTTTGTTAGGTAAATTGAAGGCATATGGTATAAAAGGAAGTGTTTTAGATTGGTTTAGAAATTATTTATTTATCAAAAAGGATGCAAGTTACAAAATTTAATGACACTATTTCATCAAAAATTAAAAATACGTTGGGTGTTCCACAGGGCAGTATCCTGGGACCACTTCTTTTTATTTTATACATAAACGATTTACCTGCCATAGTCAAAAAATGCAAAATTCAGATTTTCGCCGATGACACTATGATTTATACAAGTACTAAAAATATTCAGTCTGGCATCTCTTATATAAATGAAGACTTGAAACTTGTCTCAAAATGCAAGTAAAACGAAAGCCTTGTTAATCGGAAAAACAATGTACAAATGTTCAACGGAATATTGATGGTGAAGATATCGAATTCGTAGAAAATTTTAAATACCTGGGGTTTTGTTGACTCTCGATTAATTTTAGATATTCATTATGAAAAAGTTATAAATAAGATTAGTAGTAAAGTGGGATATTTATCGAGAGTTTCTGGATGTCTGAGTTCATATAGCAGAAAAATTATCTATAATACCATCATTCTTCCACATTTCTTGTACTGTTCGACTATTCTATATTCAGCAAATAATTCCATTTTTGAAAGACTGCAAATTTTACAAAATAAATGCATGAGAATAATACTAAATAAAGATAAATATACTCCAATTAGGCAAATGCTTAGCAAATTAAAATGGCTCAATGTAAAAAAATTTATCAAATATCTGGTAATGATATTCATTTATAAAGTAAAATATAATATATTTCCATCAAGTCTAACTAATTTAACATCATCAAATGTAGACCATCATTTACATAATACCAGAAATAAAGATGACTTCCATTTAATGACCAAAAAGTATAACATATGCTACAAATCTGTATTCCATCAAGGGTTGATTGAATATAATAAATTATACTCAGAGATAAAAGACCAGAAAACTTTGACAAAATTTAAAGTAAAATTGAGAAATCACTTGTTAAATCTACAATTATAGGTTGCCCAGCATTTACATCATACACCATATGGCTTGAATTTACTAGTTCTAAGTTGTTTACAATTATTCTGTTTATGTAGCCAAATGTGCTAAATAAATCTTTCTACTACTACATTAAAGCATATACGTATACCTTTACAGATCATGACACAAATCCAATCAGCGACTACAGAAAAACGACGCCTTAAATAAAAGCCTGTAAAAAGCGTCCAAAAACTCGGAAATATTACAGAAAATTTTGGGGTACTTTCGTAATTTCTCTCTAAGCTTTTCTTCTTTTGTACGACAGCAGTAAAGTACATGATAATAATGAATCTCACTTTCCGGGCGAAGGTTAAAATTCGGCTTTTAGAGTTGCTCAAATACAAATTATTATTGACCCACCACATTTGTAAAAAAAAATATTTGTTGTTGGAGGTTTTCACAATTTTGATGTGATCGTTAACGTATAAGGCAAACAATAGGCGCCCCAAATTGGAACCTTGAGGAACACCACTATAAAATGATAAGTTCATTTCTTTATGATTGATATTCCTTACCGTATTGCCAATTATAGGCAAAATTAAAATACTCCCCAGCAGAATGGAAGTCCATGGAGGCGATAAGCATCAAGTACAGTCCCATGCAAAGATCGGCGAAGGCCAAGTTGCATATCAAAAACCTGGATACGTTTATCTTGGACTCGCTGAACAGGATCACTGTTATCACAGCCAAGTTCCCCACAATCGCTAACACCACCACACACCAGACTGATATTCTTAACCACTCAACTCCCATGATGTCTTCGCATGGATTTAGCGCGTTGGGGTCTGGCATGCATTCCACTTCTGGCGTCCTGAAGAAAATGTAATTTACTCTTTTAGTTAGTATTAGTAGTTAGTATTTTCAAATTAAATAAAAAAATGCATTTTAAGAAAATGTTTAGATTGATAGCGAGATCGATCAATTTCGCTTAAATCACGTCGGATAAGTCCACGGCATTTTTCGGAAGAGTATTGAAATTTGATAACAAATGAGATGTTGTTTCTCGAGTTTCCACTGTCTATAAGGTTTTTTGATTCGCGACGTTTCGATTATTGTGCTTCAATCATCATCAGGTGAATTGGCGAACATGCTCCTTTGTTGTTTGATGACGTGGCCGGTGGTTGGTTGTGACTTGTCACTCGTTCCAATTTGTTGAGTTGCAGTTGTTTGATGTTTCTTATGATGGGTTGCCAACTGGTTCAATTTCCATCTTCACCTGATGACGATTCAAAAACACATCAATCGAACCGTCCTAAATGAAAAAACCTTATAGACAATGGAAGTCCGAGAAACAACATCTCATTGACGTAAATTTTGCACTTAACCATCTCCCTCTGGAAAGGATCCATGGGGATAGCGATGTACGAGTATATGAGCTTCTGGAATGTACATTTATGTTTGTGTTTATTCTTCAAAATACTCTCCATCTGGTTCAATCTATCGTTTACAGCGATTTTATATTTGATTCTATAGCTTATATGAAGTGACAGTTGTCATTCTCTTGGGCTTGTCAAAGCAGGAAAACAAATGTAACTCAGTAGGTGCTAAATCTGGTGAGTAGGGTGGGTTTTCAAAAAATTCGAGGCTTCATTGGGTGATTTTTGCTATTTTTAGAGCGGTATCAAAAATAAGATCGGGCGTCTGTTTCAAAGCCTCCCTGGGTTGACATAAAATGAAATCTTTGCATCAGGCTGCAGGTGATCGAAAGTCTTCTTAACATCGAAATCTGTGTGACAAGCATATTGAATATAATATTATTTTTATTGGAATGTATACTAAGTGACATATAAATCCGAACACCCAGTTTAAATGGTTTTATTTTAATAAAAGTTGGTGAATGTATTTATCTTACTGTAAATAACAAGTGTAAAAATTTTCAGCCTTATCAGTTGGACATTCCGGTTTTTATGCTGCATTTTTTTTAATTCACTAACGCTCTAAAAATGAATATTTCCGCCGCAGTAAAGAATCAACGTTGGAGGATTTTGGTTCTTGACATCCTTTACGATCGGTTACGATGCCTCGAGTACGGAGACCTGTACGATTTCGTCAACTTAGTGAGTTTGATAGGGGCCGTATAGTGTGACTTCGGAAAGCTGGACTTTCTTTTCGGGTAATTGCAGTTAGAGTGCAAAGAAGTGTAGACACTGTGGTTAGGTGTTGTGTCAGGCATAGCTTCGAGAAGGCTGTACGCAAAGAGCAAGGGGCACTGGACGCCGCCGTAGAACAACAGACCGTGAAGATCGCCGCCTAAGATTATTGGGCCTTAAGGGACCGTTTCTCCACTACCAGGTCCATTGCAAATGAATGGTTTGCAGAACACGGAAGTGTTTACCGACGAATGAGAAGTTTTGGCTTGTTTTCATACCGGCCACACTGGGTCCTCCCTTTAACTCGAGAACACCGACGTAATCGCCTTGAGTGGTGCAGACAACGGTCACTCTGGGATCAGGAATGGAACAGTATTGTCTTTAGTGACGAGTCTCGATTTTGTTTAGGCATGCACGATGGTCGTGCCAGGGTTAGAAGGCGACGTGGTGAAAGGAGGAATCCACAGTTTTTTGTTGAAAGACATGTTCATCACACTGTTGGAGTTATGGTTTGGGGTGCTATAGCTTATGGTTCCAGGTCACCTTTAATCTTCATCAGAGGTAACATGAATGCGCAGCGTTATATCCACGAAGTTCTAGAACCCCATCGTTTACCCTATCTTGAAACCCTGGCAGATCCAACTTTCCAACAAGATAATGCCCGACCACATGTTGCAAGAGTCACAATAGGCTTCTTTCAACATAATGATGTCACATTGTTACCATGGCCACCAAGATCTCCCGACTTATCCCCAATTGAGCACGTGTGGGATATGATGGGTAGGAGATTGCTCAATTTGCAACGTCCTCCTCAGACTCTAGAAGCACTTCGATAGGAGTTGGTGGTTGCCTGGAATGAGATGCCACAGGAGGACATTGACCACCTAATCAGAAGCATGCCTAGGCGCGTTGGAGAATGCGTAGCACATCAGAGTGCATCCACACATTATTGAAGGTCAAAGGGCTTTAAAGCAGTGCAATCATTTTGAAATTTTTATCATTTACTTATTATGCTTCACTAAGTACTTATACAAAATTTTATTAAAGTAAAACCATTTAAACTGGGTGTTCGGATTTATATGTCACTTAGTATATATACATATTGAATCTCTACATCTCAAACTATATAAAATTAATCTGCCATATTTCTGTTTCAATGGTAGATGAATGGAAAATATGTTTGATAGTGTGCTGAAGAATGTTTCGGACGAGTTTTGCTCAGCTTTTATAGTATAGAGTGAGTCTACTTGACGCCATTTTTATCATTGAAATTTCGGGTATTACCGAGGTCAGAAGCTTCTTAATACTAGATAATCATTCACTGATACCAAAGATGCAGTATTTCCAGCCCCTACCCCATACAAGCTCCAATTTGCAACCCCTACACCCTACAAAAATATTTCTGAAAATGACCAGGAAACGTCAACAAAAGCCTAAGTGACTTTTTTTCATTTTTAGCCTTTTCCTCCGCCGACACTAGTCCGATTTTCAAAAACTACAAAACCTTTTCGTTCTTGGCGTAGTAGTAGCCTAGTATAAAAATTTCATCCAAAAGCAAAAATTTCCAAATTATCGACGGATCGAGGATTCGCCACCAGACCGACAGACGACAGACTTACCGACCTACAGACAGTATAAATACTTGACAAATATAAAATGGACAACATTACAAAAATCGTCATAATAATAACAATAACAACAATAATTAATGCAAGACCTTGCTCCCTTGTGAGGATGGGAGGCGAGTGATCCCACTCCGAGCATCCGCTCTTTTCGATCTGAGCAATTTTTCACCTCCCCCTTAAAAGTATATCTTCTACTACTTTAAGTCCGGGGAGCGAGTAGGCCCATTGAGTCCTATCCATCTATTCGGAAACTCATTATTTAGATGTTCATGAACCTCTCGTCTAAAAAGTTTCGGAGACCCATCATGCAGCAACCACATTATTTGTCACACATCTAGAGGTATGTAGTACATACATGCAATAAAATTCCTAAAGATGTGCCAGTCTGACAAAGCTGACTCCATCTATCTCTGTACAGAATATTTCTTAATGATATGCGAATATTCGAATTATATAAACTGTGGGCCAAAAATGTTTCATTACAAAAACTCGGGGTGTTGAAGTTTTAGGTAAAAATGGAAATTAATTAATACTTTCAGAACCCCTTCAGATATTTCACTCATATTTAGTACGTAGTGAAAGTTAATAAAGTTGAATATTTTTCAATGCAAAAATAATAAATAAAATAGTTTTAACCAAGGTACTGCCATTTAGGCTACCTCAACGTCATGTACCTAGGTGGTTTATTTTATTGGCCATGACAATAAGTTTCTTCAGAGTCAGGATAACAGAACTGCCATTTACTTTCATCGGTCTCCTTCACTAGCGTTTAAATGTATCGAAAAAATTACTCTTAATCATCACATCTAAAAATACATCGGTCTAGAATACACATTCAATGATGAATATTATTTTCGCTATCTGCAACAGTTTGCTTTACAATTTGAGGCACGCCAGCTAAACATAGCGAATTATAAACGTAAACAATAGAGAACGATGTACTTTTCACTACCAATTAGGGCCCTATTATGCAATGTTTTCCTCCGTGCGAAGAGCGTCACACGAATTCCATCGATTTGATCGTTTATTTTAAAGGTATGTGTAATGGTTTTCGAACGGTATCTAAAAGCTATTTTAATACATGAAGTACTAAATTTAACTTGGAGTTTTGCATGTCTCTTCCATTGCAATGATAATAAAGGTAATTATTCTTAAAATAAATACATGTAAGATGTCGAATATGAAATTGTTGCACTGAAGCAGATGTGGTAGTCAAGTGGATACCCGGTTTTGTTGGCCTGTGGTTTTCAACTACTCGACGTCCTGCGCTATGCACAGATAGATTTAGGATATAACTTGAGATAACGGAAAAGGGGCACCGGAGGGATTCGAATCCCATTCCTCGGAGCAGAACCATTTAGTCTACAGTACCAGCTGTCATCCAACTTTCAGGGTCGACTGTTAAAGGCAAATTCAATCCTACCCACGCAACTATATCTTTGTTCTTTCAAGCTGCTTGATGCCTCATCTGGAGGCGTTCAAGCAGCCTAACTGAATCTTCAATCGCTTTCTAGTTGCGTCACGCTGCCTCGTGGGCACACACCACCGTACCACTGCTCGAGGCAGTCTCCTATATACAGGGTGGCCCATAAGTCCTTTGAGCTGGAAAAAAAGGAATAAAACCAAACTAGTTACATTATGAAGAATTATTATATTTTGTTATCATCTTTATTGAATGGGAATTATGTTTTAAAAATCACATTGTCTAAATGCAATCCATTACGATCACGGCACTCATATAAACGACGTCTAAAATTGTCGATGACTGCGCGGCAAGTCAACACTGTAATGCTTGCCATTTTTCTTCGGATATTTTCTTTCAGGACATGAACTGATCGCGGAGTGGTGTCGTACACTTTACTCTTGAGGTAGCCCCATAAAAAGAAGTCCATTGGGGACAAATCTGGACTACGTGGTGGCCAGGAAATGTCTCCTCTTCGAGAAATTACTTTGCTGGGAAAAAGTTGACAGACGACGGGCATAGAAGTGTTGGAGGTGTGGGCAGTTGCTCCGACCTGTTGAAACCAGGTCTGCGTATTATAGCCTGGAAAATTCTGCAACGCTGGTGTCAAAAACTCTTCTATCATTGTTACATACCGCTCCGAAGTAACAGTTAATGCGCGACCTCTGTCGTCCTCAAAAAAATAAGGGCCTACGATGCCATGCGCTGACATAGCAGCCCAAACTGTAACTTTAGGGCTGTGTAAGGGCTTCTGATGCTTACGCCTTGGATTTTCGGGGCTCCAATAACGGCAATTTTGTTTATTTACATGCCCGTTTAAATGGAAGTGAGCCTCGTCCGAGAACAACACATTATTGAGCGAAGAAAATCGATTCAACATTTCATTCGCAAAGTTTAGTCTCTGAATAGCGTCATTATCTTTTAATTCCTGCACTAACTGAATTTTGTAAGCGTGCAGACGTTAATCTTTCCTTAAAATCCGCTGTAAAGATGTTCTGGGTACGTTTAGTGCACTGGAACGCTTACGAGTAGACTGGGTAGGATTTTGACGAACAGACTGTGCCACAATGTTGATGTTTTCTTCAATACGAGTTGTCCTTGGTCGACCCCACCGCTGTTTATCTAACGTCGAACCAGTCTCTTCGAACTTAGCAACCCAGTTCTTAATCGTTTGAGCTGTTGGACACTTTGTAAAATTGTGGTATTCTCCTTATTTACGCCGCGCAATGGCTGCCGAATCATTATTTTGATAAAACGCGCGCACACAAAAAGCACGATCCGCTCCAGTGAAACACTCCATGGCGACTGAATTCCCAGACACTGAAGATACTGCCCCCACCTCGCCCGCGCCGCTCACGCTCACCCGTTAAATTTTATTCAAATTTGAAATTTCAAAGAACTTATGGACCACCCTGTACAATCTTTTTTGATTCGCGCATCCGTAACACTAAGAATATTCTAGCACACAACTTAAATGGAAGAAAAAATGGGTACCGGCGGGTTTCGAACCTGCCTCTCCTTCGTTCCGTGGAGCCTGCCTAGCCTATTAGTCTACAGCACCAACTTTCAGGACCGACTGTTAGAAACAAATTCAATCCTATTGAGCGTGTTAAAACACGTTCGCGGTGGTTGTGGATGGGACATACAAAATAGCTACGCAAAGTTATTTTGTTTGTGTGGACGATTGAAATTGCGATGACGACAGGTCGCTTAAGGAACGAGGTCAGGTTACATATCCACTTGTTCCTGTGCAGTGTTGCCATACTTTATTATGTCTTAAAACCTGGTATGATTAATCAGATACATATACAAAAGAGTGAGTATATTTTTTCATTATGAAGTTACATTGGGTAAGATTCGTATATTTTCTTACCGATTTTTATTCTATTAATTTTCCTTAAAAAATCTAATAAAAATCTTAAAAAATGTTATAGCTTAAGTAGATTAATAAAAATCTAGTTTATATTGTGTAGATATGTTTTTTAGTTGGAACATTCAAAAAGTATTAATATTCAAATGAATCCAGGCATTTAAAACCGGTATAATATGACTATATGAGACTCCCCAACAAATTGTTCATCGATCTACAGGGTTTGTCCGGAAAGTAATAGGACTGAGTCAATTTAAAAAAATTTATTGAGCCAATCGTTACAATTCTTTAAAAATTTATAAATATTCTCCTTCTGCGTCGATGCAGCGCTGCCAGCGCGATTTCCAAGCATTGAAGGGTCACGGAAGGCATTCTCCGGAATAGCCTTGAGAGTCGCGGTGCATGGTGCTTGGATCCCCTTTGTCGTCTCAAAATGATTGCCTTTCATCGGCCTTTTCAGACCAAGAAACAAAAAAAGTCCGGGGGGGGGGGGTTACATCTGGGCTGTAGGGCGGCTGCGGATGCGGCCTTGGTCAGGTAGCTGTTCACAAGAAAGGCGGTGTGAGCCGGGGCATTGTCGTGGTGCAACTTCCAGTCGGCTGCGTCGTACCCGACTGACCCTTCGTTTGAGTCTCCTGAGCACTTCCACGTAAAACTTGGCGTTGACGGTTTGTCCAGGAGGAAAAAAATCATGGTGGACGATGCCTCAAAAAAGACAATGAGCATCGTTTTCACTTTGGATTTGCTCATTCTTCCCTTTTTGGGCAAGGAGACGCCGTCGTGTGCCACTCGGAAGATTGCCTCTTTGTCTCGGGATCATACTCAAAGATCCACGACTCGTCACCTGTGATTACGTTACTCAAAAATTGGGTGTCACTTTCACACATGTTCAAATTTTCTTGGCACACTTCCACTCGCCGCAATTTCTGGTCGTTCGTGAGCACTTTTGGGACCATCTTCGCGCACACCTTTTGCATGTTGAAATGCTGTGTCACAATGTCATGAACCACAGATTTTGGTAAATGTAACCTATGGGCAATTAAACGAATACTTAGGCGACGGCCTGAGTTCAAAACTTTGCGCACACGAGTCACATTATCGGTGTTTGTCGAAGTCTTCCAGCATGGTTTTCATCAGCGACCTCTTCCCGGATCTCCGAAAAAGCCTGGTGCCACCGACGCACACCAATTCTTGCTAAAGCAACACCTGGGTAAGCCTGCTTGATCATATCAAACGTCTCTAACGAACGCTGCATTTTCGGCATGCACCACTCACAGAAACACGTCGCGAGAAAATGCCTGTCCTAACTCTCCACGTGATCGGAGACAACTGACCAGCCGCTCATTCGTTAGCTAGGAACGCCCTCTACCGAATCCAGTCGGTGCGCGCATGCTCCAAGTACAGTCATGGCGGAAAAAAATGAGTCCTATTACATTCCGGACAAACCCTGTATACTAACAATTGTATAGTACACTACAATCACATTTCCAATCCACTGCGACTTTGAAAATGCTTAACAACATATGAATAATTACCCAAGGGTTTACTAACTGGAATGATATCCTGCCACAATGTGGATCTGTTTGAGTAGAATTGACTTCCGTCGGCTTGGAATGGAAGATTCCTAGTTCTTCCTCCTCTTCACTTTCCTCGCTCGAATCTAGGTTGAAAAAGTCGTCTTCATCCTCGTTCTTCTGATGGTTGTATTTTTGTTGGTGTACTGAGTTTAATGACCAGTCTGCGTTGTCTTCTTTAAGAGTATCTAGTCTCAACCTTAAAATTGATAATATTTTTTGGTTTCATATAAAGGGGCGAAATAGATGAAATATGACAAAATTTGCCACTCGAAGCAGTAAAATTCTGATTTCATAGAATACTTCAAAACCTGGCATTTGCTATTAGTCCAGGCAAAATTATTTTGATATAATTTTTTGCATAATCTCATTCAGATCCTTTCAACGAATCTGCTTATTGTCAGGCCAAAATTTGCGTCAAGAATTTTTTAAACATTATTTTAAACAAATTCCAAAAATTGTTTTTTTTTTCGCTTCGTTCAAAGTATTCTTATGTTTCTGAACAAATAAGATGCTGCAGAACTTTTTTCTGTGGTTGTTAGTTTTCAATATATATAATATGATGCAATATTTGAAAAAGTGCAAAATATGCCATCTTCAACCTGAAGAACAATATGAAAAAACGAAAATTTTTATGTAGCCAATCTTCTTAAATATTCTTCAAACATCCATCAACAAAATCACAAACCATGTCAGGAGGTATTTTTATTTTAAACCCTTGTTTTTTAATTGTTAAGCGATTGCGCGCTCAGTAAATACTATGCGTAAAACAGAAGGTTTACAATGATACCCCCCGAAATGCTTTAGAATTTTATTATTATACGTATATGCATATATACATATACAGGGTGTTTCAGTTTATTGTTGCATAACTTTAAGATTCGATAGAACTTTTAAAATTAATGCATAAAGTCTATATAAACATGGGTCGAAACATGCAGGGTTTCCGAAATACAGGGTGTTTAAATTTACTTTCTAAAATAGTTTTTTAAATATTTCGAACAATATTTGATGTATAACAGTGAAAATTGGTATACAAGGGTTTTTGGTACGACAAAACGAACCACGGGCATAGTTTTACTGTAGCCGCTAGAGGGCGCTCTCTACTGTACCTGTAGTGTATTAAAATGACCGAAATTTTTTTCTTAGTGTAATTTTTTGCTTTTTGAATAAAAAAATGATTCTTCGCACTTTTCAACATAAAAAGGCTCTCTTGTGAATTTTCGTTATAGTTAGCGGTTTTTGGGATATTTCGATTTTTAAGGTTCGATGCATTTTTAATTATTCATGATAAAATAACGTTAAAAAGTCAGTATCTTAATAATTTTTAGAAGTAGGCTGTGCCTGCAAATATTTTTGAAATTGAAAGCAGAATAAGGTTAAACGTCAATTAATTGACAGTTAGTTTTGTTGTCTGTTGAAACCTGAAACACTTTTTTGCAATTGTGAATGCACGAAATTTAGTTTCTTTTACCTGTTTTTTTTGTAAGTTTTATAAAAATGCCATTTTTATTCTCCAATCAAGAGTTAGCGGATATTCATTTTGTGTATGGCTTGGTAAATGGAAACGCAGCAGAAGCAGCCAGAGAATACGCACGAAGATTTCCAAAGAGACGACATCCAACTCGCTCAGTATTTGTAAGAGTGCATCGCCAAATAATTTGAAAATGGTTTTGGAAATCTCCAAAGGGATCAAAACATAAATGTTCGTCAGCGCAGATTTACCCGTATGAGTCTGCGTGAGTTTGATAGAGATCCGACCACAAGTGTTAGGAGAGTTTCTGGTGCCTTGGGAATTTCAGCAAGCCATGTTCAGCGTGTTCTTAGAAATGACCATAGACGTCCTAACCATTTGCAACCTGTGCAAGGACTACAGCCAGGGGACGGAGAACGAAGAATCACATTTTGTCAGTGGATTCTTGATAGAACTAATAATAATAGGGAGTTTTTAAGTAACGTTTTATGGACCGATGAGTCATGCTTCACTTGACGTGGAGTGGTAACTTTTCATAATCAACATATTTGGTCGCATGAAAATCCGCATGCAGTTCTGGAAAGAAATTTTCAGCATGAATTTAGTGTGAACGTGTGGATTGGTATCTACCGTAATCGACTATTTGGACTCTACCTTTTGCCTGCAAGGTTAACTGCTGCGACCTTCTTGGAATTTTTAATAGCTGAACATGCAAATATGTGGGATGATGTTATGTTAGATTTAAGAAGATTGGCCTGGTTCCAGCTTGATGGCTGTCCAGCTCATTATTCGAGAATAGTTAGAAACTGGCTGGTCGAAAATTATCCAGAAAGATGGATCGGCCGTGGAGGACCAGTCACCTGGCCTCCACGATCCCCTGACCTAAATCCATTAGATTTCTTTGTGTGGGGATTTCTAAAAGAAAAAGTGTACCAGACTCCCGTAGTAAATAAGGCCTTATTTGAATAATGCTATACCACGTTCGATCATTCGTAGATGTGAATTGTGTATTGAACAATTGGGTTTACATTTCGAGCAACTACTTTAGATTTTGTATGTTTGTCCTAACTATCCAATAGCATTTTAGTTGTAAATAATTAATTTAATTTGTTAAAAATAATATTGGAAAATTAAACAAATTAATATTCTGTTTTTTTGTGTTTATTTGGAGTTAGGAATTATTGCTGTGTTTAAAAACACAATCTAAACGATCCTCTTAATTACTTGTAATGCCCGAATCGAAAATGTAAAAAAAATATTATTTTCCCATAAATAATTAAAAATGCATCGAACCTAAAAATCGAAATATCTCAAAAACGGCTAACTATAACGGAAACTCACAGGAGAGCTTTTTTATGTTGAAAAGTGCGAAGAATCCGATTTTTTATTCAAAAAGCAAAAAATTGCATTAAGAAAAAATTTTCGGTCATTTTAATACACTTCAAGTACAGTAGAGAGCGCCCTCTAGTGGCTACAGTCAAACTATGCCCATGGTTCGTTTTGTCGTACCAAAAAACACTTGTATACCAATTTTCACTGTTATACATCACATATTGTTCGAAATATTTAAAAAAACTATTTTAGAAAGTAAATTTAAACACCCTGTATTTCGGAAGCCACGCATTTTTCGATCCATGTTCATATAGACTTTATGCATTGATTTTAAAAGTTCTATCGAATCTTAAACTTATGCAACAATAAACTGAAACACCCTGTATAATATATTATTTATATGTTTGAAAAGTAATAAGCGACATTGCCAACATTAAAATGTTCTTTTTTTCGTATTGTTTTGCGGGTCCTAAATACCACATTTCGAATTTATTCAATAATGCAATATTATCGCTTATATTTCGAAAACTATCAACTTTATAGAAAAATCCCTTCTTTGACCCGAATGTCCAGAAACAAATTTGACCGGATTCTTTAAATTTGTTTTAAAAATATTGACGCAAATATGGGCCTGTCAACATGTATACTCCTTAAGAGTATGCAAAAAATCCGAATCAATATTTCTTACATCAGACGCGAGGAGGAGCTTTTTGTATTGGTTTTTCGTGTTTCAATGGTTTTTTGCTGGATTTTTGTGTTTTTAGATGGCTTTCTGACTTTTCTTGTTTGTATAACAAGGCTAATTTGAAAGAGAGGATTTTTATATTCTTATTGTAGTGGTATTTTGTATGGATTTCGTCTTTTGTGTTTGTCCACAAAAATCCACATTTTATGTGACTCTGACTGTACCACAAGTTCGCTGCATGTTATGGGTGCGTTAAAATTAAAAGTGAAAATCAGGTAATTGAGCCGAAAATTGATATAAATAATTAAATATATTTAGTTTGATTTGAACTTGGATTAATCGTTCTAGAGCTACGCTGCCACAAACATGCATGCATGCTGACACGCCTTAAACTTAAAATACCTATATGTTTGCGTTGAGGATCTGTAAAAAGAAATCAACAATATTCCCTTCACTGGCTAATAGGAATTATTCACGAATGAACCTTTGTTCTGAATTTTCAACTCAATGATAGAATGTTGCAATCATAGCCCTTTATGGCAAACAACTGTGGACTTTATTATTCCATATTTTCAAGGAAAGCCTTTATTGAGCTTTTTTGAGACAGGTTAAAAAAGCGTTATAGTGAAATTATTAGTATCGTATTGGCACCTTGAGTAACATCACTAGTGCCTATCTCTGGGCAGAGCCAACCTAAGGTTGCTGGTGGGACTGTTGTCTGGCCATAATACGTTAAGGCGTCACCTGCACGTGATGGGGTTGGCTGAGGATCCCTTGTACGAACGCTGCGGAGTAGAGGAAGAGACCTCGGCGCACGTTTTGTGTCGCTGTGAAGCTCTGAGCTACTATAGGCAGACTATACCGGGGTCCATTACTTTGGACCCTCAGGACGTCAAGGAGCTTGGACTCATAAGTGCCCGCTTAAGCGGCCTATGCACTGGCTCCTTATGGTGGCGTGATGCCTCTAATTTTAAGATTCATTCATTCATTCATTCATTCAACGTCTCTAGTCAATCAGAGTTACGCCACCGCGTACCAAGAGCGATACACCTTCCCGCAACATCGAGAAGAATCGACACTCATCCTGAGGTATCTAGCGCCATATAGACCACTCCGATCAAGGTTCGCGAATCGGCGTCGAAAACGCGGGAGAACTTATAAAACGAAACAAACAAAATTCGATTCACCACATAAAAGGCGAATTATTCACGAAGAAACGTTTGCTATGAATTTTCACAACAATGATACAATGTTGCATGCAGATCCCTATATGGCAAAAGACTGTGGGCTCCATTATGACGTATTTCAAGAATTCCCACGTTCGTACAGGTAAGCCAAGGATTTTTAGAGACATGCCAAAAACGCATCGTAGTGAAACAATTAGTATCGTATTGTGACGCCCTCTTAATCGGAACCGTAAGTAACGATGAGACGTCCTCACAATATCGACGTTCAGGCAACCAGAGTTACGCCACCGTGTACTAAGAGCGGTATAGCTTGAGGCAGCATCGAGAAGCATCGACGTTCATGCACTAGCTAGAACACTTCGATGAAGTATAGTGACTCGGCCTCAAAAACGTATGGGTACTTATTATTCATCGACTAAGCGCGGCCCAACACGTACGGAATTCGGATTCGTAATAGCCTAGAAAAATTAAACTTTTCTTTGTTTAAAAACTATTTCTGGAATTTTTACCAGAAAGTGTCTTATTGCCCTGGGCTATTCTGAATAGGGATTCCGTAGATAAAAATACCGAGAGATGGCAGAACCACACAATCAACGGGCAGTCAACATGATATAGGCCAGTCAACATGTTTATAAATTTGTCATAAATTAGTTGCAAGTCTTGTAATAAATTAGAATTTAAATAGTCAAAACTGTACTTTCGTATCAGTATCTTAGCTATTTCCCAATCTTATGCATCTCTGAAGGTATGCTAAAAGTCCATTGTATTTTATACAATCTTCGGTCATAGAAATGTAAAATGCAATATAAGTGTTACTCACTCTCCTGCATACACGCGTGTTTTCGATATAGACCGTTTTTTCCTCGCCGATTTGTGTCCAATTTTATATTTCCTCAATTCTTCACAGATCTTCTTCATGTTCTCTTCATACTGAGCGTGCCTCTCTGGGTCATGCTGTGCTGGGTATCGAAATGCACAACAGTGGAAGGAATGTGTGAGTTTTGCCGCCCTCAAATTCTACAAAGCCCAGAATTGTAGGAAATTTGTTATTAGATCTATTTTGTTTAATTTCATCAATAGATTTTGGATATGAGAAACTGTGTTCCAATGTTTAGTTTTTGTATTGGCAGTAAGCTCCGAATTGATTTAAAACAGTACGTCTTACTCGATTCTGAACTTACTTTAAGGTCGTATATACTGGGGATTGTTTGCATAGTGGGCGTGTCTTCGATTTTAAGAGTTTCTAGATCTTCTAATCCTTCTGTTGGTAATTTCTTTATCGCTGACTGTGATAAGTCTCTGTAAAATATTAATATTGTTTACGGTTGTATCAGAATTACTTTTTCCAGTCTTACAGTATCCGCAGACTCTTCAGTCCTTTGAAGGCAAGCTCATTGATTTCAGTCAGTTTGTAGTTTGAGTGCATGGACCTGGAACAAGCATAATCTTTGAAGTTTTTCTACTATACTATAGTCTAGCTCAGAATTGGAAGAAGACAGCTCAAGTTATCTGAAAGCCTTGCTTAGATTGAGGCAAAATTGGTAACCCTAAGCAGTTCACCACTCATCAGACCAATAAATAAAATCATTAAGTTCCAGTATATTGTAAGGCTGGGTGTTAACGGTTATTTGATCGAGGATTTGTCCTTTTTGCCAAAAATGTTGTGTGTATTTTCTATAATACAGTAAATATAATGTTTTTTTTGTTTTTGTTTTTTGGCAAATAAATGTATTTTGAATTTGAATTTGAATTGTGTAACACCCGTGTTTCGTTATTATTTTCAAAGGAGATTTAAACTGATATTTATAGTTCATAATGACATCATATGAGATTAGCGGTAATCAATGAACGAGTAGTGTATGTATTTGGTAGTAGGATTTGTATTTGTGGCTATTTTTGCATAAAATTGTAGTACGAAAAATAATCCATGTATCTTATTAGATATTTTGGATATAATTTTAGAATTCATTGGATCATTTACCCACAAGGTTCAGTTCTAGGGCACTCTTGGTCTTAATTTATACAGGGTGACTTTGAAGTTGAGTCATTAATTTTAACAGTGAGTAGATCTGATCAAAAGAAATGTTTTTTCCTTTAACATTTTTGTGGTAAAATTAAAGTAACAAAGTTATAGCCCTTTAGAAGTTTGAGTACCGCCCTGTCTCAATAATAATATTATGTGCTCGTGTTTGGCAACAACGGATATAATCCGCCTTATCGGTTCATCGCATCGGAAACAAAAAAGCGAAAGAGTTTGGAACGATGTTTTTACAATTATTTTATTCATTTGTATACAGTCAGTGTCAGTGAATAGTGGTGTCTGTTGAGTGGCTCAAACGAAATAAAAAATGGCACATGTTTATGCGGATCGGTTTCCCAATCGAGTGCAACCAACCCCTCGTGCCTTTGTTAATGTAGTACAACGGGCTCGTGAATCAGGTGACTTAAGACCTCACAGGGGACGGCATGCCGGTGCTCCAAGAGCTCACGATCAAATACAGGTCCGCACTGAAATACTTGTCGGGAGGATACTTTATAAAACAAGGTAAATTTTTTTTTAATTTTAATTTTATTTTTACACACATATTTTGGTTTATCTTCCTTCTACAATCATTATCTGAAAATTAATGACTCAACTTCAAAGTTGATTCGATTTGGTAAGTGTAACTTGTTATGCCGATGATACTAATTATTGTTAAGCTTTCCTCCACCTGATGACTTTAAAATGAATGAGGCTAAAATTAATATTGATCTCGAAAGTATTCACAACTACTGCTATTAATAATATGAAACTCAATCCTCAAAAATCAAGTGTTGTACTTTTTTGCAAGAAAGAAAAGCGGAGACACCTAGAAAAAACCTGGCCCTGGAAATAAGCTAAAATGTCGGTCTACTCATAGACAAAAACCTACGATTTCAAACGCATGTTAACAACATGATCAAAACTTACTATTCCAGGCTGAAATTGTTATATACCAATAGGCTCCTTAAGTTTTAAAACAAAAAAAACGATTAAGTGAATCATTAATTATACTAAGTGACATATAAATCCGAACACCCAGTTTAAATGCTTTTATTTTAATAAAATTTTGTATAAGTACTTAATGAAGCATAATAAGTAAATGATAAAAATTTCAAAATGATTGCACTGCTTTAAAGCCCTTTGACCTTTAATAATGTGTGGATGCACCCTGATGTGCTACGCATTCTCCAACGCGCCTAGGCATGCTTCTGATCAGGTGGTCAATGTCCTCCTGTGGTATCTCATTCCAGGCAACCACCAACTCCTCTCGAAGTGCTTCTAGAGTCTGAGGAGGACGTTGCAAATTGAGCAATCTCCTACCCATCATATCCCACACGTGCTCAATTGGGGATAAGTCGGGAGATCTTGGTGGCCATGGTAACAATGTGACATCATTATTTTGAAAGAAGTCTATTGTGACTCTTGCAACATGTGGTCGGGCATTATCTTGTTGGAAAGTTGGATCTGCCAGGGTGTCAAGATAGGGTAAAAGATGGGGTTCTAGAACTTCGTGGATATAACGCTGCGCGTTCATGTTACCTCTGATGAAGATTAAAGGTGACCTGGAACCATAAGCTATAGCACCCCAAACCATAACTCCATCAGTGTGATGAGCATGTCTTTCAACAAAAAACTGTGGATTCCTCCTTTCACCACGTCGCCTTCTAACCCTGGCACGACCATCGTGCATGCCTAAACAAAATCGAGACTCGTCACTAAAGACAATACTGTTCCATTCCTGATCCCAGAGTGACCGTTGTCTGCACCACTCAAGGCGATTACGTCGGTGTTCTCGAGTTAAAGGGAGGACCCAGTGTGGCCGGTATGAAAACAAGCCAAAACTTCTCATTCGTCGGTAAACACTTCGCATGCCAATAGGTCTTCCGTGTTCTGCAAACCATTCATTTGCAATGGACCTGGTAGTGGAGAAACGGTCCCTTAAGGCCAATAATCTAAGGCGGCGATCTTCACGGTCTGTTGTTCTACGGCGGCGTCCAGTGCCCCTTGCTCTTTGCGTACGGCCTTCTCGAAGCCATGCCTGACAACACCTAACCACAGTGTCTACACTTCTTTGAACTCTAACTGCAATTGCCCGAAAAGAAAGTCCAGCTTCCCGAAGTCCCACTATACGGCCCCTATCAAACTCACTAAGTTGACGAAATCGTACAGGTCTCCGTACTCTAGGCATCGTAACCGATCGTAAAGGATATCAAGAACCAAAATCCGCCAACGTTGATTCTTTGCTGCGGCTGAAATATTCATTTTTAGAGCGTTAGTGAATTAAAAAAAAGCAGTATAAAAACCGGAATGTCCAACTGATAAAGCTGAAAATTTTTTCACTTGTTATTTACAGTAAGATAAATACATTCACCAACTTTTATTAAAATAAAACCATTTAAACTGGGTGTTCGGATTTATATGTCACTTAGTATATTTCCAAAATGTCAAATGGAATCATAACGTATTATTATTGCTTAGAACAAGTGTTTACTTTCAGACTACAAAAAATTCAAAATTCTTGTTGCCGGTTAAAAAAACAACCTTAGGAAATACGATCATGTAACTCGCCCAATCAAAAAATCAGGATGGCTCAATAACCTGTTCAAATATGTGTTTTAGTCATTTGGAGAATTTATTATAACTATTCATTATATCATACATCATATAAATGTTTAAATTATCATAAATTTAAGTCGTTATTGAAATAATATATTTTCAACACAGAAATTTTGGTAGCACTTAATCTTTGTTAGATATATTTTGTGTACATAGTAACACTTGAATTTTAAAAATTGTTTTAACCAAAAGCATCGGTCAAAAACACTTCTGACCGATTTTTGTGGTCAAAAGAGTTTTGACTGCAACATATACAGGGTTTCACTTTATTGTTGCATAACTTTAAGATTCGATAGAACTTTTGAAATTAATGCATACAGTCTATATAAACATGGGTCAAAAAATGCGTGGCTTCCGAAATACAGGGGGTTTAAATTTACTTTCTAAAATAGTTTTTTTTAAATATTTCGAACAATATTTGATGTATAACAGTGAAAATTGGTATAAAAGGGTTTTTTGGTACGACAAAACGAACCATGGGCATAGTTTTACTGTAGCCGCTAGAGGGCGCTCTCTAATGTACCTGTAGTGTATTAAAATGACCGAATTTTTTCTTATTGCAATTTTGTGCTTTTTGAATAAAAAACCTGATTTTTCGCACTTTTCAACATAAAAAAGCTCTCTTGTGAATTTTCATTATAGTTAGCCGTTTTTGAGATATTTTGATTTTTAAGGTTCGATGCATTTTTAATTATTTATGGTAAAATAACGTTAAAAAGTCAGTATCGCGATAATTTTTAGAAGTAGGTTGTGCCTGCAAATATTTTTGAAATTGAAAGCAGAATAAGGTTAAACGTCAATTAGTTGACAGTTAGTTTTGTTGTCTGTTGAAACCTGAAACGTTGTGAATGCACGAAATTTAGTTTCTTTTACCTGTTTTTTTTGTAAGTTTTATAAAAATGCCATTTTTATTCTCCAATCAAGAGTTAGCGGATATTCATTTTGTGTATGGCTTTGTAAATGGAAACGCAGCAGAAGCAGCCAGAGAATACGCACGAAGATTTCCAAACAGACGACATCCAACTTGCTTAGTATTTGTAATAGTGCATCGCCAAATAATTGAAAATGGTTTTGGAAATCTCCAAAGGGATCAAAACATAAATGTTCGTCAGCGCAGATTTACTCGTATGATTCTGCGTGAGTTTGATAGAGATCCGACCACAAGTGTTAGGAGAGTTTCTGGTGCCTTGGGAATTTCAGCAAGCCATGTTCACTGTGTTCCTAGAAATGACCATAGACGTCCTTACCATTTGCAACCTGTGCAAGGACTACAGCCAGGGGACGGAGAATGAAGAATCACATTTTGTAAGTGGATTCTTGATAGTACTGATAATAATAGGGAGTTTTTAAGTAACGTTTTATGGACCGATGAGTCATGCTTCACTAGACGTGGAGTGGTAAATTTTCATAATCAACATATTTGGTCGCATGAAAATCCGCATGCAGTTCGGGAAAGAAATTTTCAGCATGAATTTAGTGTGAACGTGTGGATTGGTATCTACCGTAATCGACTATTTGGACCCTACCTTTTGCCTGCAAGGTTAAATTCTGCGACCTTCTTGGAATTTTTAAAGGCTGAACATGCAAATATGTGGGATGATGTTATGTTAGATTTAAGAAGATTGGCCTGGTTCCAGCTTGATGGTTGTCCAGCACATTATTCGAGATAGTTAGAAACTGGCTGGATGAAAATTATCCAGAAAGATGGATCGGCCGTGGAGGACCAGTCGCCTGGCCTCCACGATCCCCTGACCTAAATCCATTAGATTTCTTTGTGTGGGGATTTCTAAAAGAGAAAGTGTACCAGACTCCCGTAACCACAAGAGATATACTAATAGACAGAATCAGGAATGCATGTGATGAAATAAGGCCTTATTTGAATAATGCTATACCACGTTCGATCATTCGTAGATGTGAATTGTGTATTGAACAATTGGGTTTACATTTCAAGCAACTACTTTAGATTTTGTATGTTTGTCCTAACTATCCAATAGCATTTTAGTTGTAAATAATTAATTTAATTTGTTAAAAATAATATTGGAAAATTAAACAAATTAATATTGTTTTTTTGTGTTTATTTGAAGTTACTAATTATTGCTGTGTTTAAAAACACAATCTAAATGATCATCTTAATTACTTGTAATGCCTAAATCGAAAATGTAAAAAAAAATATGATTTTCCCATAAATAATTAAAAATGCATCGAACCTTAAAAATCGAAATATCTCAAAAACGGCTAACTATAACGAAAATTCACAAGAGAGCTTTTTTTATGTTGAAAAGTGCGAGGAATCAGTTTTTTTATTCAAAAAGCAAAAAATTGCACCAAGAAAAAATTTTCGGTCATTTTAATACACTACAGGTACAGTGGAGAGCGCCCTCTAGCGGCTACAGTAAAACTATGCCCATGGTTCGTTTTGTCGTACCAAAAGACCCTTGTATACCAATTTTCACTGTTATACATCAAATATTGTTCGAAATATTTAAAAAAAAACTATTTTAGAAAGTAAATTTAAACACCCTTTATTTCGGAAGCCACGCATTTTTCGACCCATGTTTATATAGACTTTATGCAATAATTTTGAAAGTTCTATCGAATCTTAAAGTTATGCAACAATAAACTGAAACACCCTATAGTAAATATGAACTTTTTCATTATTATAGTATTTATTTATTTGCATTATTCTTTGAATATTATGTTGTTATGTTAATGATGAAATAAAGACATGTGAGTATACTTACAGTTCTGCGATTTCCGATCCATTAAATGCATGGTCCTCTATCACCACTAACCGTGAATTGAAGTTTATGGTTCTGAAAATATAAATTATCAATAATTAACTATTCTTGAATATATTACGAGCTCATTGATTAATTAAGTTTTAGCTAAGCAATGTTGCTACACATCGTGATGAAATGCTGCGAGCATGACCATGTAACGAACGAATGAGGGATTTTACTGAGTATGCCGGATTCTGGAGAATCTCACACTTCGGACAGAAAAGGACAGTGCTGTCGAGATTTTCTGTCCGAGACCGACTATAAAAGATCTCCTCTGTCATTTTTTTTTTAAATCAACCTATAATATCTATTGACTTACGCTTTTCGCTTACCAAATGAACTTACACTTGTTCGGCAACGATTCTTATAGAATTCCTCGGGAGGCGCTCTATCTCATTGTGGTCCAGATCTCTGAAAAGTCAATAGAACAACAGCTGTACGAAAATATTGTCCCAAAGATTCCGTGAATCAAGAAGCGGCAATAAATATCAGAACGAATATGAAGAATGGCATCAACTAGGCTGATTCTGCACATCACGACTATGTTCGGCTCAAGCTAGTCGCTTTGAGCTAGCTCCAAACATGTATAACATAAAATTAAATGGGTCAAGTCAGCCAAACAGGCCCATATACAGGGTGTTTCAGTTTATTGTTGCATAACTTTAAGATTCGATAGAACTTTTAAAATTAATGCATACAGTCTATATAAACATGGGTCGAAAAATGCGTGGCTTCCGAAATACAGGGTGTCTAAATTTACTTTCTAAAATAGTTTTTTTTAAGTATTTCGAACAATATTTGATGTATAACAGTGAAAATTGGTATACAAGGGTTTTTTGGTACGACAAAAAGAACCATGGGCATAGTTTTACTGTAGCCGCTAGAGGGCGCTCTCTACTGTACCTGTAGTGTATTAAAATGACCGAAAATTTTTTCTTAGTACAATTTTTTGCTTTTTGAATAAAAAACTGATTCTTCGCACTTTTCAACATAAAAAAGCTGTCTTGTGAATGTTCGTTAAAGTTAGGCCGTTTTTGAGATATTTCGATTTTTAAGGTTCGATGCATTTTCAATTATTTATGATAAAATAACGTTAAAAAGTCAGTATCTCGATAATTTTGAGAAGTAGGCTGTGCCTGCAAATATTTTTGAAATTGAAAGCAGAATAAGGTTAAACGTCAATTAGTTGACAGTTAGTTTTGTTGTCTGTTGAAACCTGAAACGTTTTTTTGCAATTGTGAATGCACGAAACTTAGTTTCTTTTACCTGTTTTTTTTTTGTAAGTTTTATAAAAATGCCATTTTTATTCTCCAATCAAGAGTTAGCGGATATTCATTTTGTGTATGGCTTTGTAAATGGAAACGCAGCAGAAGCAGCCAGAGAATACGCACGAAGATTTCCAAACAGACGACATCCAACTCGCTCAGTATTTGTAAGAGTGCATCGCCAAATAATTGAAAATGGTTTTGGAAATCTCCAAAGCGATCAAAACATAAATGTTCGTCAGCGCAGATTTACACGTATGATTCTGCGTGAGTTTGATAGAGATCCGACCACAAGTGTTAGGAGAGTGTCTGGTGCCATGGGAATTTCAGCAAGCCATGTTCACCGTGTTCTTAGAAATGACCATAGACGTCCTTACCATTTGCAACCTGTGCTAGGGCTACAGCCAGGGGACGGAGAACGAAGAATCATATTTTGTCAGTGGATTCTTGATAGAACTGATAATAATAGGGAGTTTTTAAGTAACGTTTTATGGACCGATGAGTCATGCTTCACTAGACGTGGAGTGGTAAATTTTCATAATCAACATATTTGGTCGCATGAAAATCCGCATGCAGTTAGGGAAAGAAATTTTCAGCATGAATTTAGTGTGAACGTGTGGATTGGTATCTACCGTAATCGACTATTTGAACCCTACCTTTTGCCTGCAAGGTTAAATGCTGCGACCTTCTTGGAATTTTTAAAGGCTGAACATGCAAATATGTGGGATGATGTTATGTTAGATTTAAGAAGATTGGCTTGGTTCCAGCTAAATGGTTGTCCAGCTCATTAATCGAGAATAGCTAGAAACTGGCTGGGCGAAAATTATCCAGAAAGATGGATCGGCCGTGGAGGACCAGTCGGCTGGCCTCCACGATCCCCTGGCCTAAATCCATTAGATTTATTTGTGTGGGGATTTCTAAAAGAAAAAGTGTACCAGACACCCGTAACCACAAGAGACAGAATCAGGAATGCATGTGATGAAATAAGGCCTTATTTGAATCGGTCCACGTTCGATCATTCGTAGATGTGAATTGTGTATTGAACAATTGGGTTTACATTTCGAGCAACTACTTTAGATTTTGTATGTTTGTCCTAACTATCCAATAGCATTTTAGTTGTAAATAATTAATTTAATTTGTTAAAAATAATATTGGAAAATTAAACAAATTAATATTCTGTTTTTTGTGTTTATTTGGAGTTAGGAATTATTGCTGTGTTTAAAAACACAATCTAAACGATCATCTTAATTACTTGTAATGCCCAAATCGGAAATGTAAAAAAAAAAATATTATTAACGAAAACTCACAAGAGAGCTTTTTTATGTTGAAAAGTGCGAAGAATCAGTTTTTTTATTAAAAAAGCAAAAAATTGCACTGAGAAAAAATTTTCGGTCATTTTAATACACTACAGGTTCAGTAAAGAGCGCCCTCTAGCGGCTACAGTAAAACTATGCCCATGGTTCGTTTTTTCGTACCAAAAAACCCTTGTATACCAATTTTCACTGTTATACATGAAATATTGTTCGAAATATTTAAAAAAAAACTATTTTAGAAAGTAATTTTAAATACCCTGTATAATTAGTACATACTCCATAGTCCCCATCCATTTGATAACGCTAAAGCTAGATTCTTCCCTGCCCCATTTATCAACCATCCGGCAACGCTGCTGGACCCTACCAGTCAAAGACGTCATAAGTGCCAGCTATGATACTAACATCCCTGTTGCTGTTTTGTTAAAAGTTCGTTCTTGTAATAAATACATAATTTAGGTCTGGTCTTACATTTTTTATGTTTCAAAATCTTATATATTGTTAATGTTAATCAATAAATTCTTTGATGTTGTTTACAAATTTAAAAGGGTCTATTGCCTATTGGAAAACATCTCAAATGAAGACGCGTACACCAATGCTTAATAAGAAAGATAAAAAATTCCAGGTAAAAGATGAATAACAGTGTTGGCCAGCATCTTAACATTTTGAAAAATAATTTTTTTTAAGTTATCAGCACTTCTTAGCAAAGCAAAAAATGTTTTTGGAGTTACGCCACTGGTATACACCCCGATATTAAGAGTAGTACTTGGTTTTGTTCATTAGGCAGCTTAATTGCATAGTAAAATTCGGTTTTAATTATAATGTCAAAGTAGAAAAATTTTACTGCACGCCACTGGAAGAATTTTCAGCTTTAACAGTGGCGTGCGTACGGGTATTGACTTCGATATTTTTCAAGAAAAAAATGGTACGCCAATGGTTTTTTTCCAAATAAAAATTATTTTTGAATTCCCCGTTCAATTTAAAACGAATGATCTCCCCTGAATTGTTTTCGTTCGATGCGCCATTTTTGAATAACAAAAAAAAAAACCGTTCTATTGTCTAACTTTAATTGGAAAAATTAAACACATTAGGGGTAAAGAACAACAACAACTGACAACATAAACATAACATTATATTCTGTTTTGTTATGGTTTGAGTGATGGAAATTCCGTTGAAGCCAGGCGAGAATACGAAAACCGTTTTCCGAATCGGCGAATACCGAGTCATCGAGTATTTGCTTCTGTGTACCAACGCGTCAAGGAAAGTGGACAGGTTCATGAGAGACGTCATGATGCTGGTAGAACTCGGTTGTTTGACGACGAAGATCGAGAGGCAATACTGGAATGCTACGGCATAGACCTGACGACGTCTACACGAGTTATAGCAAAGCAGCTTGGTTTAACTCAGTAGAAAGTTTGGTTCGTTTTGCATTCGGCGAGACTTTACCCTTTCCATTACACACTGGTTCAAGTATTGGAAGAAGGAGATCCCGCAAGAAGAATTGATTTTTGTCGATACATGCTTCATCGGGATCAAGAAGAAAACGACTATTTAACTAAAATATTGTGAACCGACGAGTCTAAGTTTGACAGAGAGGGGACAACAAATTATCACAACTTACATTATTGGGCCCCACGAGAGGCAAATCCCCACATGGTAAAGCCAAGAGCCCATCAAAGAAGACTTTCGGCAAACGTGTGGATGGGAATCATTCATACGTATCTAATTGGAACAGTTTTTTTGCCTGACAACCTGAATGGCGAATCCTATGAAAACTTTTTGAGATCCGAACTCTGGGAGTATCTCGAAGACCTGGCTCTGAATATCAGGATGCAGATGATCTACCAACACGATGGCTGTCCCGCGCATTTCCGTCTGGGTGTTAGACAGTGGCTGGACAAGAAGTATCCTTGTCGCTGGATTGGCCGAGGTGGACCGACACCGTGGCCAGCGAGGAGCCCAGATGTAACACCGTGTGACTATTATTTATGGGGGCACATGAAGTCACTGGTGTACGTTGAGCCCATAGACATTCTTGCACAGTTGAAAGAAAGAATTATTGCTGCTGCTGACACTATCAGAGGACAACTAACTGGCCGCATCACGCGTACCAACATGAGAAAAAGACTACGGGCTTGCATAAGAAACGGCGGGCGTCAGTTCGAACAACAATTGCAATGAATTTTACCTTCATTTCATTATTGTATTTTACTTACCAATTGTAGTAACTGTTAGTCAGTTTTTATTATTCTGAAGTACAATTACAACGGTGTAAATAATCTAATCGTGTAACTTAACCGTAGTTTAAAATAATAACTATCCCATAGCTTACAGTTACATTATTTTCACAAAAACACTTTCTTATCAATCAGAGAGTTGTGAAAATAGGAGACAAGCCATTGGTAAATTTACTCCCTATTGTTGTATTACAATACATTATGGTTAGTTTCACACAGTTTTCGTGCACTTATCATACCAATTTAGATTCCTTATGAAACAAGGATATTATTTAAATTGTTTTTACGTTTTTTTGTATACTGATCTTTTTGTAAAACACCTTACTTACTGTAAAACGTTATTTGTTTTTCTTAGTTAAACATTTTTGAATGAAAATAAATACGTTGTTTGGTATTGTTTTCGAATCTTTTTTAATTTATAATAGTTAATTATTGAAATAATAACTCAAAACTTTTTTACTCTGAAATATGGATTGTTTTTAAAAAAATCTTAAATCTTCAATAACTTTTCAACCTTTGAATATAGGGTATGGTATTATATACTAATTTCGATAGCAAAGGGGCTGTACTATCACCTCCTAAAATATTTTACACCTATT